TTTTCATTTCAATTTTGATTTTCTTCAGCATGACCTTGATGAAACTTATATGGTTTCCTTTGTATTCATCCCAGTGGGAGTGGCTGAGCATCTTGAATCTGTGGGCTTATATCTTTGATCAGCTGTGGGTGTACTTGTCCTTTGCTGTCCTGTTCCATGTGTGTCCCCTTTCAGGACTCCTTTTTGGCTCTGTTAGACATTTGCATGTTTTTTACATGTATATCCTCTTTTTGCCTCATAATCTTTTCTTCTTTCTTTGCTTTGACCTGGATATTTTCTTTTGACCTGATTTTCAATTTACTAATATCATGTCCTGCTATATCTAATTGTTTGTCAATTGCACAAAAAGTGAGTTTACTTTGAGTTATTGCATTTTATGCTTCATAAGTTCCACTTCATCAATTTTTTATGGATTCTAAGGTTTGAGATTCTGTAGTGGAAGTCACCCTATAATTCCTGGGTCTTGTACATGTTAAGCACACATTCTACCAGTGAACTCTATCTCCAGTATGTTGCCAGATTTGATTCATTTTCTTATCTTTATTTTTTCAGTACTACTAAGCATTGTTATATGCCTGTCCAATAGCTGTAATAACTGAGATCACCTTTCCTCTAGCATGGCATTTGTGTGTGTGTGTGTCGGGGGGGAGGTTTGATAATATTTATGCCAGTTCCTGGCATGTCAAATAATTTTCAATTAACTGGCATTATATGAGAAAAGATGTTGAATATTGATGACTTTGTCTTGCTTCAGAGAGAGGATTCCTCTTTGCTCTTCTACACAGGTGGAGGATCACTGATCCATTTGGGCACATTCCAGAATCCTCTGACTCGAGGCTGATTTGCAGTTTGATCAGGGTCTTTTAGCTCTGGTTTGCCCTGATCCTGGGCATAGTCCTCTATGGATTTCTCTGAAGATTAGGGTACTGTTATGGCTCTTTCCTAGGTCACCAGCAGCTATAACCATTGTTTCTTTAGGAAAGCAAGATGCTGAAATGTTCACACTAACTGTCAGAGGCTTTTTGCTTCTCTTCTGCTGTAGTTCAGATGTGTTGTATCTCAGATGTCTGTGTGTGGGCTTGGTACCTAGTGCACTGGTGTTTTGAGGTGGTGGTTCTGTTATGAGATGGCTCCACCCTCATGAACGGATGAATACTGTCTCATGGAGGAGGTCAGGTGATGGCTTTCAGTTTTGTGACCAGATCATTACTTACCTGCAGGTGTTGGGCAAGATTTTTGGGATGCATCAGTTCTTGTGAGAAAGGGTTGTTTTAAGAATCCTGGTGCCTCAATGATACCTCACGTACTCTTGCTATTGGGATGCGATGAGGCCTCCTTAGAGCTACAGCAGTGCCACACCATAGGCTCGGACCTACAGGTCTTAGCTACATAATCTTTTCTTTTCTAACATCTGGCCTCAGCCATTTATTTTAGCAATACAAAACAAACCATGACAGCTCTGTAGCCTCCTGCCCCCATGTAGCTTCGAACTTCTCAAAGTCTGGATTGGAAATGACTCAAAAGTGGGCTTCATTCTCTACTGCTCTTTTCCTTGGGGGCTTGGCTCCTCATTCTCAAGATTTATTCTATTTGTGTGAGAAGTCCCTGCATCTTTGGCTCCCTTCTTTCTTAGAGCTGCACTGCACCTGGCCCCGCATTGGTTTTCACTGTTCTGTCAGAAGCAAAGACAAACAGGGGCCCAGTGTGGGCACACCTCTGAAAATACCTCCCTCAGGACTTTGCCTCCTCACACCCAGACTCCTTGGACTGCTCTGAAGCACAGTGCTAGGCGCACATGTCCACCGTCCTGCTCATGCCATGTCTGTTGCTGCAGGATGAACCTTGGCACTCACCAGGGCTGAGGGTCCCCAAATATCACTCTGACCATGGTGTTCCCTGGCTCTGCATCTGCATCACCAGTCTCCTCCTCCAATTTAGGGCACTCACTGATCTCACCGAGTGTGGGAACTCCTGCTCAGTCTCCTCTTCCAGCATGGAATCCTGACTGATCTCACAGAGAGTGTGTCCTCCTGCTCAGTCCCCTCATCCAGCATGGTGCCCTGACCAATTTCACGGAGTGTGGGACCTCCTGCTTGGTCCCCTCCTCCAGTATGGCATCCTGACTGATCTCA